ACATAAACATTCTCCTGGCTTTTACCAACCTGTAGAGTTTATCCGGTTTATAGTTTTTATTGTTGATATGCTGACAGCTCAGCAGAAGCAGAGATCACGGCGTGCAGGTTGTGTCTCTGCTCACCAGCTGCGGCTGCTCAGACCCAAACAGGAAGCTCCTGTTTCTGATGTTTCACCTTCGAACCGTTCCTCCAGAGCAGCTTGATGTCGCTCTTCCTCAGGAGGTCTCTGCTACCAGCTCAGTCTAAACCGTCTGCTCTCCGCCTCGCAGCTGTTCGACCGTATCAAGCTGTTCGGCATGCCGGGGAAGCACCAGCCCGACCTCATCTACCTGCGCTACGTGCCGCTGTGGAAGGTCCACGTCTTCACCGCCGTCCAGCTCTCCTGCCTCATCATCCTGTGGGTCATCAAGGCGTCGCGCGCCGCCGTCGTCTTCCCCATGATGGTGAGCCCTTCGGCCTGCATGTTTCACCGCCCCGGGCGCTGGCGCTCACCTCCGTCGCCGCTCCCCGCAGGTTCTGGCGTTGGTCTTCATCCGGAAGCTTCTGGACTTCTGCTTCACTAAGAGGGAGCTGAGCTGGCTGGACGACCTGATCCCAGAGAGCAAGAAGAAGAAGGACGACGATAAGAAGAAGAAGGAGGCGGTGAGGAGGGGAGGGAGACGCATGAGGCCGAGAGCGTTTAAAGGTTCTGACCCGTTCTGGTCGCTTCTCTGCAGGACGCTCATTTGATGATGGAGGAGACGGAGGACGAGGCGCCCTACGAGCCACAGAGCATCCTGAAGTTCCCCATTAAATCCCTGAAGGGACGGTGAGTCGGATCAGAACCTGCTGAGCTCAACCCAGTGGAGCGTTGGCCCCGTGAGAAGCGGCTTTATGGGCTGCATTAAAAGAGCGTGACATGTCCGACTGCTCTATGTAGTTTACCCAGAAATTCCTTTATCGTATTTATTTAATTTCATCTCATTTCTGCTATTTGATCTCAGGGAGGAATTCAATTCTATTCAGTTTATTTCTATAGC